CCCCCCCCCCCCAGTGCACAAATTTTTGTGCACCGGGCCTCTAGTCTATATAATAAAGAGCCAGGGTCATAACAATCACTGGGACTTTGACCAGACGGGAAGTCAGTGCTGGGTCACAACCCAGCACTGACTGTGGCCGCTGCAGGCACCCAGACTCAGCACTGACTGCCTAGGGGGCTGCGGATCAGGCCCAGAGAGAGGCCTGCAGAGAGAGAGGCAGGGTCTGATCTGTAGTCTCTGTGGCAGCTGTTGATCAGAACTTGCCTCTCTTTCTCTCCCGGCCTGGCCAGCAGCCCTGCCTCCATTTCTCTCCAGGCCTCCACCAGGGCTGCTGGTCAGCCCAGCTATTCTGATCAGGCCCCATTGATAGGCCCAGAGACGCTGACTGGCATAGAAACTGACCAATCAGAACAAAATCTGAGTGAATGTAAGGAGCCAAAAGCTGCCTAGGCGGTGGAGATTTTGATGCTGACTGGCATAGAAACTGACCAATCAGAACCAAATTGGCTGGCAGGGGAGGGCAGTTAGGGGTGATCAGGCAGGCAGGCAGAGGCAGTTAGGGGTGATCAGGCAGGCAGGCAGAGGCAGTTAGGGGTGATCAGGCATGATCAGGCAGGCAGGCAGAGGGGTTAGGGGAGATCAGGCAGGCAGGCAGGTGAATTGTTAGGAGCCAGTGGTCCCAGATTATGAGAGTGGTGTCTGACCGCCAGTTTAGGCCTGATCCCACCAGCGGTCGGATACCCCCCCCAAGGGGTCCTGATTGGAATGGGTGCAGACTGGGCTGAGGGAACCCCCCCTCCGTGCACGAATTTCGTGCACTGGGCCTCTAGTATTTAATATAAAGCAGAGAAAACACAGATATAACTATTATCTGTGTCTTGTAACCCAGATTTTAAAACTAATCTCATTTGTCCAAAGATTCACCTTAATTATTGAACCTGGCTCCTTAAAAGTTTTCTGAGCTAACAACTTCTTGTATGGGGGACTTAAAACAAAAAAGCTGAGCACATCTAAAGCATAGAAATTTGGTTTCTTTATTTCCTCTGACTTCGGGAAACATTAGATTTATGTAGACACTTAGCTGTCTCTACAAACCAATCAATACAGAACCCCTGGACTCTAAGCTATTAATACCTCCAGAAGTAGGAAGTTATTTCACACCCACAGTAAGAGATAAGGCCTCTCTGATTACGGATGATGTAGACACACAAACATAGAGTGACTCTGACTTTATTTTTACGACTCCAGCCACAGGTCAAAAGTCAGCACGGAGACAGAAAAACTCACCAGTCCAGGTCTCAAAAAGCGGCTCTCCCTCCCAGTGGGAACACAACTCCTAACTAATGGGCAGTCACACGTAGAAAAGCAAACACTGCCACCACCCACAGAAGATGAGCAAATCCGACTTTCTGTTGTCTTCCCCACCACTGCTGCCACCAAAATAAAAAACGCAAATTCCGCAAAAGAAAACTAGAGACACAGAGTCAGCGGACTTAAAGCTCTATCACACTCAGGACTCCCTCCACGCGCCCCAAGTGCCGGCTCACTTCCCCAGCAAAGCAGCTTCCTTGGTTCCGACAGCTGAGTCCATTGGGCATCTCCATGGAACCTCCAAAACTGTCCAAATGTAACTTCCAGGAAGGTACACTCATGCCCCTTAGGCAAAAACTAAGATGAATCATCAAAGGTTTATTTAACTCAATAATTGAGAGAGGTTATGAATGGTTGAAAGAGCATTTTAAAAACTAGGAAATTTAACAAGGAAATGTTAGAAATGCTGAGTTGGAGTTTTAAAAGCTGGTTAATGTCCAATAGGCCGTAAATCTTTGGGGTCATCTGTTCCATTGGACAGAAACGACTTACATCTCTCTCGGACAAAACCTACAAGTTAACCCGTGACTTTCTCTAGTCTGGGCCCTTTCAGCAGCTCCACGAGATGAATTCTGCGCCTTCCTCTAGAAGATGCTCGGGGGCTTTTGCCCCTGAGGAACATGCTGTCCACCCCGGGGACTTATTTTCAAGTTCCAGATTAATTTTTGGACTCCGATAAACACAATCTGGGGTGGATTCCCCACTGTCCTTGATCAGGGTCCTTAAGGGAGGAGACTCAGGACAGGCAAATGTTGACGTAGGAGGGAGGATAGGGAAGGTGTGGAGAAGTTCAAGGCTCTGCTGAGGCTGCCTCGGACAGGGTCCGGGTCCGGGAGCCGCAGGGCAGGCTCTGGCTCAGGCTCAGCAGGCGTGGGACGCCAAAACTGGGGAGAGGGAAGGTGGGGGCGGCTGATGACAGACGCCTCTATTTTTTGAGGGTGGCCCAGTGGGAACAGCACCCAATCTACCCCCTCCTTGCAGGTGGCCAAGTTCAGCTTCCTGGGCAGCGAGGAGGAGCCGGAGATGATCTTTGACTGGGTGGATGTGGAGCGGAAGGGACACCTCTCCCTGGAAGAGTTCAGCTCTGGGCTGAGTATGTCCGTCCCGGGAGGAGGCGCTGTGGGGGCTGGCCGTCCCGGGAGGAGGCGCTGTGGGGGCTGGCCGCACGGGCAGGCATCGCTGCAGTGAGCCCAGCACGGGGCCAGGCTGGGCTGACGGACAGGCAACAGTGAGACCTTAGCAACCAGGGGACCCTCACAGCACCCCCAAGGGAGCTCAGGGTGTGGAAGACAATCCTGGTGACTGTGGAGACGAGGACACTCAGCCTGGTGGGAAGGCAGGTGGTTTGAGCCTTAAGACTCTAGCCCAGGAGATGGGATCGCTTCCTCTCCCACCGGCCAGAGCCGTTCTTGGCCTGGGGGTCCCCTCAGCACCCCCCTTCTCTAGAGAGGCTGCCAGGTTTGCTTTCTGATGCCTCCCTGTCTTCTCCCCAACAAAAGGCTTCCCTTGAGCAAGAAGTTAAGCAACCAACCCCCCCCCCCCTTCTTGAGACCCCAGCCTTGTTTCCCTCTGAGGAAGTTCACAGCCCGGCTTTGGTGAAGGGAATTTAGGTCCCAGGGAGCAGCAAAGGGTGATATTTAGGGGGTGGGGCTTCCCAGGCCTTTAGTCCTCACTGAGCAGGGCTACCTCCACTCCGCTTCTCCAGACAGGCCCCAAAGGACCTAGAGAGACCAAGACCAGAGGGAACGATACTCCCCCTTCTGATACTCCCCCTTCTGCGGGGGTGAGACTAGAGAGACCAAGACCAGAGGGAACGATACTCCCCCTTCTCCGGGGGTGAGACTGGCCCAGGGAGTGGGAGGTGTGGTGTCCTTCGAGACCCTGCAGAGCCCAGCTGGCCTTACGTTAATGCAGAGCCATCTAGGGTTCTTGGTTTGCTGGTCTCCAAAAGTTTGGCGGGCAACAGAGAAGGAGGCCAGGAATCTGCATTTATAGGTTGGGGCTGCCCAGGAGGTGGGTGCTCTGGTTCTGGTGATTGGGAAGCCGGGAGTAGGGAGGGGGAATTGGGGTCTGGAATCAAGGATGGGGGCAGAGGGAACATTGTTGTCCATGCACCCCCAAGGTCCATCTTCCTATCAGTATCCAGTCCTGCCCAGCACCCCAGGGCTGCCCCTGCCTGTGCAACACAATTTACACCTGTTCCTGGGCCCACAGGGCAGCACCAGCCAGACTCTGCCAGCCTCTCGGCTCACTCAGTGCCACTCGCCTCCTCCGGTGTGCCAGTCTGTTTCCTACCGCAGGGCCTTTGCACGTGCTGTTCTCTCTGCCTGGAGTACGCTTCCCCAGGAAGGCACATGACTTGCTTCTTCTTGCTACTCTCATCTCGGTTCAAAGTCTTCAGGGCACACCTAACTACTCGCTCTAAAGTAGCCCCCAGTAGCAACGGAAATGGTCCTGTTTATTCCTTTAGCTCACTTAGCAAATTTACTTTTTAAAAAGTGTCCTTTTAGGCACTCACTACAATGTCAGTTCTACTAGGACAAGGATTTGGGCCATTTTTGTCCCCAGCACATAACTATTCTGTGCTCAATAAATATTCTGGGTGAAGGAAGAATGTGTTGGCCTCCATGGAGCCGCTGTGTGACTTCCAGCAGCTCTTTAGGCCTCTCTGGGCCTCGCATGTTCATGTGTAAAATGGGCACAGTGCTGCCGTCAGTAGCCTCCCTGGCTGACATGAGGAATGATGAACATGGCCCTGTAGAAATGTGACCAGAACGGATATAATTATTCCCCCAAGGGCTGGAGCAGGCCATTCTCGGCTGGGGGGGCTTAAGGGAGGAGACTCAGGACAGACAAAAGTTAGGGTTTTTCAAAATGCTGACACGAGCAAGGTGAGGGGCCAGGGGCTGAGCCCAACCCCACTCCCCTCTTTTCTGTCCCCCTCTGTCCACAGAGAGTATCTTTGGCTCCAGCCCGAGCAGCCAGAGGGTCCGCGGAAGGAGGCCACTGTCGTCCAAGCGCGGGTCCGCGGCCACCAGCTTCCCCGTGCTGGAGGAGGCGGACGCGGAGGAGAAGGAGGCGTTTCTCGCCTTCATGGAGCAGCTGGGGGGTGACCACTCACTTCCTGAGTAAGGCCAGCACAGTGTGTGTGTGTGTGTGGGGAGGGGGGCGGGGGCAGGACGGGCACTGCCAGTCCGCGTAGGCGAGGCCTCGCCTGGACACAGTGTGAAAGTGGGACCAGGTAGAGCTGGGTGCAAATTCTGGTTTGGCCACTTGTTAGCTGTGTGACGTGGGGCAAGTGGCGTAACCTCTGACCTGCTTTCCCTGGCTGCGGAGTGAGGCAGAGCTTTGGGGAGAAGATAAGCCCTGGCCCCGCCCCTGCCCTGTCCCGCCCTAGAATCTCTCCTCCGGAGGGTTACCGAGCTGGGGCAGCCTCCCACGGGTCCTCACATTCTGAGGGTGCCTTTCTTAACCCAAAAAGAGGGTCCCCACTTGAGCGGTGTGAGGACGGTGATGCCCTGGGTTGGGAGATTTCGAGACAGGGTGTTCCCTCCTAACTGGCTCTGGTTTGGGGCTCTTGGGGTTTACTCGCTCAAAGAAAGGGGGGCCCTGCCTAAAAATGCCCCTCCCACACCCCCATCTGCCACAGGGGGTCAGAGCCAGCGAGGGGGTCGCCTGCCCCCAGGGCTGTGGGAACGGCTCTCAGAGGGCAGGCCCGGGTTGTGGGGCAGGCAGGGTGGGACGCAGGGTACAGGCTGCAGGGCCAGGCGTGGTGGGAGCCGTTCACCTCCTTGGCAGCTTGGCCTGCTCTCAGCTCTCTGGCATCTGTGTTCACATACAGCAAGTGCCAACCATGTGCCAGGCCCAAGCGGGTGCTTTCACTGGGCGTGTCTCACTCTCTGGAGAACTTGCTGGGCAGGTATCAGCCTCCCTGTTTTACAAACAAGCCCAGAGAGGGCATGGTACTTGCCAAAGATCACACAGCTAGGGCGTGGGGAAGAGAGAAGGCAGCGGAGGCCCTGGGCCATCGGGCTCCCAGTCCCCCTCCCCACAATCAATCACCAAACCACAGAGAACCAGGGTACTGTGGGGTTCAAGAAGGGAGAGGGCAGCCCTAACCAGCTTGGCTCAGTGGCTACAGCGTCAACCCCCAGACTGAAGGGTCCCGGGTTCGATTCCGGTCAAGGGCACGTACCTCAGTGGCAGGCTTGATCCTAGCCCCAGGTTGGGGTGTGTGTGGGAGGCAACCCATCAATGTGTCTCTCTCACACTGATGTTTCTCTCGCTGTCTCTCCCTCTCCTTTTCCCTCCCTTCCACTCTGTCTAAAAATCAATGGAAAAATATCCCTGGGGGAGGATTCAAAAAAAGAAGGGCCTCTCCCTGGGCACACCTGGGAGAGACTCCTGGGGGGCATGGCATTTGGCTGCACCTACAGAGGTCAATAGGTTTTTGTAGCCCAGGTGCTCCAGTCTCTCGGAGTGTTGCCATTCACATGGAGAACGGGGCCCCCTCTGCTTCCTGGGCCCCCTCAGGTCTAATCTCTGGCTCCCCCCTCCCCAGGCAGGAGATCTGGCAGCTGTGGGGGAAGCTGAGGCAGGAGGAGCCCCAGCTGGCGGGCAACCTGGAGGGCTTCCTGGCGCAGATGACCAGCCGCCTGCAGGAGGCACGGGCTGACAAGGAGGCTCTGGAGCTGACCCTGAGGAAGTGAGTGGGTGGGGGTTCGCGCCCACTGGGTGTCTGCATGTAGTGGGAGCTCTGCATGTAGCGGCTGAATCTTAATGGGATTCCCTCGGCTGCAGAAGGATGGAGGCCAAGGCCACGCAGGGCCTGGAGGCTGGGATGGGCGGAGCGAAGCTGGAGGAAGGGCTGGCTTTGGGGGTGTGGGGAGGACAGAGTTTGGCCTTTGTCCAGAGTGGGATGCCAAGTGTGTGTTGGTGCAGGGCCACTGTGGCAGCCAACTCCAGGAGCGCCACTCATGTAGATGGCAATGCATGTGGCAGCCCTGGGGATGGCCCTCCCTTCCACTCTGGGAGGCAGGGGGGCTGAGCTATGGAGGCAGGGGGATGGTGACAGAGGGATGTGGGGACAGGGTGTGAAGTGGTGGGGACCATGTGACAGGGCCAGGGGACCAATATCTTGGCGATGGCTACAGGAGTCAGGTGATGGGATCCGCGTGACCAATGTCAGGGTTGCGTGGGTCAGGGGCTGCCATTGGGATAACCGTTTCCAGGGTAACGAGGGTCGGGGATCCCTGACCAAGCGAGCTGAGCAGTAGATGGACTCCAAACCAGGTCCGGGCTGCCTCTGGCGGCAGCAGGGCCCGGGGTCGCTGAAGCGCTGCCCGGCCCACCTCCCACCCCTTCCAGGCGGGACTCTGACCACCAACGCGAGGTCCAGCAGCTGTACGAGGAGATGGAGCAGCAGATCGGCCGGCAGAAGCAGCAGCTGCAGGCCAAGGTGGGCTCCCGGCAGCCTGCCCTCCCCTGCCCTGGACCCCTCTGCTGGCCCAGACGTGGGGCCGGTGCCCAGCCAGTGTGGGGTGGCAGGAGGTGGCTGGGTCCTCTCACACCCCTGACCAGGAGATGGGGTGAGGAGTGCCGAGCCCCGTCCCCTCTCTGGGGGTCTCGCTCTGTCCCCTGGGGCTGGTCCCCCTCGCTGGGCCTCGGTGTCCTTGTTGCCACAATCCAGGCCTGAGCCAGGGAAGTTGTCCTGAGACCCCTTCCGCTGGGACCCTGCGCCCCAGGCCCAGGGGGAGGTGAAGCCTGGCTGGGTTTTAGATGCTGCCGCCCAGGGCCTGAGGCCTCTCTCTCCTCAGAGTGACTCCCGGGACCTGGCCCTCAGCTCGCAGATGCAGGAGGTCCTGGAGGCCAAGGAGCGCGAGGTGCAGCAGCTGGCCGAGGGCCAGAGGGAGGTGAGTGCGGGCGGCCGGAGCCCGGTCCCTGAGGACTCAGACGCTGGCCCCCCGCCTGAGGATGCATGAGGGTGGCCCCTGGGAAAGGCGTGGTGGCCCTTTCTGAGGTGAGCCAGGTAGGGCAGCGGGAGCAGGGGGACAGGAGCCAGAAGGGGTGGGTGCAAATCCCTGTGGTTCCAGTGCAAACCTGAGGAAATACCTTGGCTTGCCCGGCTTTAGTTTCTCCGCCTGCGCAACGGGACTGGCCACATCTATTGCACCTCCCGGCTGGTGTGTAACACGAGGCGATAAGTGGAAAGCGCTTGGAGCAGGAAAGCGCAGGGCAAACCCCAGGCCTCGCTGCTGGGGAGGCTGGGCCGGAGGTGGTGTCCACTCTCGTCTCCGTGGGCAGCTGAGCGGCCTTGGCAGGTTTCTAACTTCCTCCCCGAGAAGGGGGGTTCAGAACTCTTGCCTTAGAAAACCCGGTGAGGTGCCCGGTGCTTTACCCATCATGGCTGTTCCTGTCTCTGAATCTGACCTGGCCCCGGGCAGAGGATCTGCTGCCCTGACACTGGGTCCGGTAGCTGATGGTCACTTCCTGGTCTCCTTGTGGCTGAGCCTTTGGCCTGAGACCCTGCCCCACGGTCTCGCGCTTCAACTTCTAAACCACCGACCGCAGTAACTCACATCTGGGCTGTCGGACACCAGCATCCCTTCGGCTGCTCTCCCAGCGCTGCCTTGGCTGGTGCCCCAGGTGCCCCCGAGGCACCAGGCCCCTCCTGCCGAGGGAGAAGGTCGGACTTCCACGTGGGGCCATAGTGTCCTGTCCCCCCTGAAGCTCTGTCCCAGGCCCTTCATCCCTTCACCCAACAGCTAGTTACGATGCACCTACTATGTGCCGGGCAGTCCCAGGTTCTGAGGAACATGACACACAGCCTCTGCCCACAGAGTTATTGTCTGGTCAGGGAGACGGAGGGTAAAACAAGCAAAGAAAACCTATAACATATCAGATAACAAAGTGCGGAGGAGAATAGAGTGAAGCCGGGCCGGGGACAGAGGGTTTTGATAGATGAAGACATTGGAGTAAAGACCTGAAGAAGGTGAGGGGCGGGCCATGCGATGAGCAGGGAAGAGCAGGCAGGAGGGAACCGTCAGTGCAAAGGCCCATGCGCTGCGAGTGTTCAAGGATCAGCAAGGAGACCTGTGGCTGGAACAGAGGGGAGAGTGGCAGTGGGAGAGGAGGTCAGAGAAGTAACGGGGTGGGGGGGGCTGTGCAGGGCCCTGGGCCATTGGAGGGCTTTGCCTCCCGCGGCGTGGGCAGCAGCTCTCCGTCTCCCAGTCGTGGGACTGGCTGCTGGACCAGGAGCTCCCTGCAGACAGATGGAGGGCGTGGCCCCACAGGCCGGCCTCCTGGCCATGGCAGTTTGTGTTTCTGCAGTTCCCTGTGCCCTCTCCACCCAGCAACTCAAACCTCCCTCCCGCTGGGAGGTCATGAAGTCAGTTAGGAAGGAGGGTCACCCCTCCAGTCCTGCTTTAAGCTGGGCCTTGGGGACCTGGACCTGTGCCCCACAATGGCCTGGGGGGCTGTCGGTTGTCCTGGAGGGCAGCTGGCTTCTGTCCCCTCACCCCCCCTCCTGTCCCTTCCTGCAGCTGGAGGCCGAGCTCCAGCGCCTCAGCAGCGCACACCGGGAGGCCGGCTCCGAGAAGCTGCAGCTTCGGGAGGCCCAGCGGGACCTGGCTGGGCGGCTGGAGCAGGTGCAGGAGCAGCTGCAGATGACCCAGGGGCACCTGAACTTCGCCAGGAGCCGCGTGTCCTGGCAGGTGGAGAAGGAGCCGAGGCAGGTGGCTGCCGCCCAGGCTGGGGTGGGGACCAGGAGCTTCCTGGAGGAGGGAGGGGCTGTGCTCCGGCTGTCAGCACAGCACACACGGCCCCTCATAGACCCCACGACACTGTCAGGCCCATTCCCCAGACAAGGAAACTGAAGGGCAGAGCGACAGTCATGTGCCCAAGGCCACACCTGGGATTTGGACACACACACTCACACACACACTCACACTCACTCACATACACACACTCACACGCGCACTCACACACACACACACTCACACACACTCACTCACACACACACTTACACTTACTCACATACACACTCACATGCACACTCACACTCACTCATACACATACTCATGCACTCACACACACTCATACACACTCACACACTCACACTCACACACACACTCACACTCACACACACACACACTAACACACGCACTCACACACTCATGCACACACATATGCACTCACGCACTCACACACACACTCAACACTCACACACACACTTATACACATTCACACACACCCACTCACGTACTCACACACTCACACACACACACACCTGAATACATTCACACACACTCATACACACACACTCACACACACATGCACATTCACACTCACTCACAGGTCTCGTGTGCAACTGAGGTGTCAGCTGTGTGAGGGCTGCAGGCGGGACTGGTGTGCGTCCGCCTGCCTCCCTGACCTGAGCTCCCACCCCTTTCCAGTGTCCCCAGAGCAGGTGAGGACGAGGCTCCCGACCCTCAGGCGGTCTCCTCTGAGGAGGCGCCCCTGCCGGGACTGTTCGAGGACAATGATGACTGGGACCGGCTCCTGAACAGCTTCAACAGCCCCTGGCACAGAACCCCACAGCTCCTGTGGAGCCCGCCCGCGACCCCCACATCCCCCTCAGCCCCCCAGACACCCCGAGTGGTCAGGCAGATCTCCATCTCAGAGCAGCACGATCTGCTATTTGGTCGGGAGCCATCTTCAGATTCCAATGGGGCCCCAAGGAGCCCCCCTGGGGTGACAACCAGGCCCGAGGAAGGGAGAGCAGTGGACCCAGGTGGGCAGGACCTCAGTGCAACGCGGCCCGTGGAGCGTCGCGGCGCGCACCCTCAGGAAGGGCCCGGGCCTGGCCCTGAGACCCACTTCTTTGGGGAGTCATTTCTCCCCGCGGCTCCAGCTGGGGAGTCAGGGGGCCTGGTGGCAGCTGCACTCGAAGTGCTTGTTCCTCTGGGGGCTGGCCCCCCTCCCCAGGGGACTTCTCCCCCGGCCCAGTCCCCAGCGGGGCCCAGCACACACTTCCAGACCTCAGACCCAGATGATAGGGACTCCTGGGCGGGGCCTGTCCCAGCCAAGCCACCCAGGCAGAGGGAGGCCCTCCACCAGGGCCCTCATACTGCGGGCTCCGCACCCCGACTGGAGCCCAGAGGAGCCCGAGTCCTCCCGGCAGGGCTGGCTGAGCTCTCAGAGGGTCTGGAGGGTGTGGCTGAGGCTCCCCTGGCTGAGCCCCCAGAGGGTCTGGAGGGTGTAGGTCAGGCTGAGGCTCCCCTGGCTGAGCCCTCAGAGGGTCTGGAGGGTGTGGCTGAGGCTCCCCTGGCTGAGCCCCCCGAGGGTCTGGAGGGTGTGGGTCAGGCTCTCCTGGCTGAGCCCCCAGAGGGTCTGGAGGGTGTAGGTCAGGCTGAGGCTCCCCTGGCTGAGCCCTCAGAGGGTCTGGAGGGTGTGGCTGAGGCTCCCCTGGCTGAGCCCCCCGAGGGTCTGGAGGGTGTGGGTCAGGCTCTCCTGGCTGAGCCCCCAGAGGGTCTGGAGGGTGTAGGTCAGGCTGAGGCTCCCCTGGCTGAGCCCTCAGAGGGTCTGGAGGGTGTGGCTGAGGCTCCCCTGGCTGAGCCCCCCGAGGGTCTGGAGGGTGTGGGTCAGGCTCTCCTGGCTGAGCCCCCAGAGGGTCTGGAGGGTGTAGGTCAGGCTGAGGCTCCCCTGGCTGAGCCCTCAGAGGGTCTGGAGGGTGTGGCTGAGGCTCCCCTGGCTGAGCCCCCCGAGGGTCTGGAGGGTGTGGGTCAGGCTCTCCTGGCTGAGCCCCCAGAGGGTCTGGAGGGTGTAGGTCAGGCTGAGGCTCCCCTGGCTGAGCCCTCAGAGGGTCTGGAGGGTGTGGCTGAGGCTCCCCTGGCTGAGCCCCCCGAGGGTCTGGAGGGTGTGGGTCAGGCTCTCCTGGCTGAGCCCCCAGAGGGTCTGGAGGGTGTAGGTCAGGCTGAGGCTCCCCTGGCTGAGCCCTCAGAGGGTCTGGAGGGTGTGGCTGAGGCTCCCCTGGCTGAGCCCCCCGAGGGTCTGGAGGGTGTGGGTCAGGCTCTCCTGGCTGAGCCCCCAGAGGGTCTGGAGGGTGTAGGTCAGGCTGAGGCTCCCCTGGCTGAGCCCTCAGAGGGTCTGGAGGGTGTGGCTGAGGCTCCCCTGGCTGAGCCCCCCGAGGGTCTGGAGGGTGTGGGTCAGGCTCTCCTGGCTGAGCCCCCAGAGGGTCTGGAGGGTGTAGGTCAGGCTGAGGCTCCCCTGGCTGAGCCCTCAGAGGGTCTGGAGGGTGTGGCTGAGGCTCCCCTGGCTGAGCCCCCCGAGGGTCTGGAGGGTGTGGGTCAGGCTCTCCTGGCTGAGCCCCCAGAGGGTCTGGAGGGTGTAGGTCAGGCTGAGGCTCCCCTGGCTGAGCCCTCAGAGGGTCTGGAGGGTGTGGCTGAGGCTCCCCTGGCTGAGCCCCCCGAGGGTCTGGAGGGTGTGGGTCAGGCTCTCCTGGCTGAGCCCCCAGAGGGTCTGGAGGGTGTAGGTCAGGCTGAGGCTCCCCTGGCTGAGCCCTCAGAGGGTCTGGAGGGTGTGGCTGAGGCTCCCCTGGCTGAGCCCCCCGAGGGTCTGGAGGGTGTGGGTCAGGCTCTCCTGGCTGAGCCCCCAGAGGGTCTGGAGGGTGTAGGTCAGGCTGAGGCTCCCCTGGCTGAGCCCTCAGAGGGTCTGGAGGGTGTGGCTGAGGCTCCCCTGGCTGAGCCCCCCGAGGGTCTGGAGGGTGTGGGTCAGGCTCTCCTGGCTGAGCCCCCAGAGGGTCTGGAGGGTGTAGGTCAGGCTGAGGCTCCCCTGGCTGAGCCCTCAGAGGGTCTGGAGGGTGTGGCTGAGGCTCCCCTGGCTGAGCCCCCAGAGGGTCTGGAGTGTGTGGCTCAGGCTCCCACGAAGGCAGTGGCGCAGCAGGGTGAGCTGGGCCCAGATGTGCTGGAGGGCCGTCCCGGGGGGCTAAGGGAAGCTCCTGGCCAGGTCCAGCTTAGTGGGCTGCCTGCCCTCCCACAGCAGAGTCTGGAGGAGGAACCCAGGGAGGAGGAGGGGAAACAGGGGGGCCAGGGCAGGCCAGGCCTCAGTTCAGAGCTGCCCTCTGAGGCTCGGGGCCTGAGGACCGGGCCCTCAGAACGCCCCCAGCGAAGTTCCCTGCCTGCCCCTCTCCCACCTGACACAGCGCAGGCTCAGGCTGAGGCAGAAGGCCCTGCTCCTGGAAGACCGTCCCCTCCAAGGGACTCTCCCCCTCGGGGGGCTCAGCCTGGGGGTGGGGCAGGGCCCCAGCCGCCCACGAACACCCTGCCCAGCATGGAGGCTGCGCTGGAAGCCCAACCCACGCTGCCACCCACAGCCGCTCAAGCGGAGGGAGAACAAGGCCCCCCACCACCCCGTGAGCCTCGGGCAGAGAACAGGCCTGAAGACCCAGGAACAGGCTCCGGGGAGGCTGGGCTGACCCCCTCCCCAGGGGGCCCCACGGGCAGCGAGCCTCCAGCCGACCCTGATTACATCTACCACATCATCTTCCTGGGAGACTCGAACGTGGGTAAAACATCCTTCTTGCACCTGCTGCACCAGGACACCTTCGCCTCTGGGCTGACAGCCACTGTGGGTAAGCGCCCATCCTGG